GAACTTGACTGTAAAGAAGGAGGACCACAGAACTCTAGACGTCTCACATATGTTGAAGTATAAAAATCTTTTTTCCCCTTCATTTAACATGCAAATATTTTAAAATGAAATATTTAATGAAGCCAAATTAAATACAYGTGAAAGGTAAAACTTCATAATGCAGTATTTTAATTTTCAATTGATTATATGCAGAATTCTGATGCCAGAAAAATCATACAATGGATTGCGCAGATAAATAATTAAATAACAAGTTCTTAATWGTATTTCGGTTCAGGGATGTCCCCTAAGGGGGCGTGTCAGAAAAATAATTGATTTAGTCTTTTAGAAAACAAAGTTTGTTTTGAAAGTTAAAATATTTTGATTAGTGAAACACTACATGTAGAAGTCATATGTTCTCCAGTATTATGATTTGACTAAATAAAACGYTTGTTTTTCATCCTCTTTTTAAACTAAACATTAGTAAACATAGACTTAAGCTCCGCCCCTCAGCTGCTCCGGGTCCTCTGACCCGCTGTTGGTTAATGGGGCGTTGATTTCCGGTGTAAAGTGTTGTGTTTTTCAGGTTGTGTTTGTGTATGTGTGTATGTGAGAGCTGTGTAGTGTGAGTGTGTGTTTGTAAACGTGCACAGCTCGGATACAGTCACCGCTTTGCACCGCGGGGCAGCCTCCGTGTGTTCCTACATGCACGTTTACCGTTSCGGCTCCGCAGCCGTTGTCCCCCAGCGATGACCGAAAGCCCCGCGACCAAAGCCGCCAACGGGGAAGTAGCAGCGGGTCTGCATGCGAAGAACGGACTGAGACCGGACAGGAACGGCTTCTCGAAGAGCCTCCTCTGCTGCCACGAGTGGCCGCCCAAGACGAATCACGGACAGCGGCAGGACGAGGAAGAGGTGAGGCCCGGGGATGGAACCGGGAGGAGAGGGTGATGTAGCCCGGGAAACGTTCGCCACAGAGTGGACCCGGAAACTGGCGGACAGCGCTACCTTCCCTAACGTAAACGTTGGTGTTCTCATTTAAATTCGTCACGATAGCAACTATCTGAGCTGTTTTCTGCAGTTTGCAGGCATCAAGTTCTTACGACTCTGGCGCCAAACTCCACACTAAAAAGACTTGATTAAAAYATTTTTAACTTTGTTCATCCTGTACACTTGTAGAAAAAAACAWGAARYCAGMTGMTTTTAACTTTTTAAATACTTAGCTKTCATTCGGCATAATAATATTTACATTTAAGCTGCTACAAACCGGATGTTTTTCTCTCCATGCCTTCTCTGCACTTTTTAAGGGGAGGTTTTTGAGGGCGGCTGCCACAATCTGAATCGACACTGTGCTCATTTTTAATCCGGATTAGTTCTGCATATGTGAGCCGAATTTAAGMCGAGCTATTGCAAAACAACGAGATTTTAAACAAGTTTATAAACTGGCRTGAGTAAACGTATAATATGCCTAGTTTATTAAGTAGCAACACTTCAGAACCAGTTCATCCTCAAGTTGTTTACATTTTTTCTGCCAGTGAAATGTTAAATAAAGGTCCAAACTGTAGAATCTAACATAAACAAAGATTATCCTGAACTGTCAAACTGTGTATATTTTATGTATGTTTCCAGATGAAATGATTATTCTGAAATGTGGGTCTGCACTCAATGTAAACAAAACACTTTTTTTTCTGCATGAGCTTGAATGTGACTCATCCCATCAAAATGAGGACTAAATTAAATTTGGTCAAAGGAATGAGGAATTTATTTATTTATGTATTGTTT